GGGGGGTTCCTGTGACCATCACGGGTACTGTGGCTCCTCCCAAGGGGCTCCCGAGCTCTGGGGTGCTGGGAATTTTAGCCCTCATAAATACACCCAGACACACACAAACAGTGCCAGGCGCTGTGTTTGCTCCTTGCATGTCCGAGACCTTGCTTCATGCTGATGGCGGCCGCGTGGGCCTGGGGAGGGGAAGTAGTTTTGACAGACAGTGCCCTGCCCTCTCTTCCACACTCTTTCTCCTCATGGACCTCTCTGGAACTGGGCAGAGGAGAAAGGAGCTGCAGTGGCAAATGCAGGTAAAAACGTGGCTCTGCCTCTTACAGGTCCCGTGACCTTGGGCAAGCCATTTCGCCCTCTTTGAACTCTGTTTTCTTCTAGCAGGGAGAGTCTACCTGAGCAAGTTCAGAGGATTAAATGAAATAATGCACGTGGAGATGTCGAGCCTATAACTGACAAGCAGGAAATGCTGAATGAGCGAGTGAATGAAGGAGTAGGGAGCCTAAGTGGCCAGGCCGGGAGCTCTGGTCCTCTACCTGCTGTGTGTCCCTTTCTCAGCACACCCACAGGAGGGCCTCCCCTAGCTCACGACGGTCTCTGGGACATTGGTGAGGGATTCAGGGGACAGTATCCACTTTCTTTTAGGAGAAAGCCTTTTGAGGGGTCCCTGCCACCATTTCTATCCCAGAACTCTCCTTTATTCAACCACAAATGCTCTGGGTGCCCAAGACCTGTGCTGAGCCATGAGGGCAACTGACAGGTGGTCCTGACCTCCTGAAGCTCTTGGGCTAATGAGGAGGCAGGGAGATATGGGATTGCTCTGTTGGGGAGCGGGAGGAGGAGTGGGTGCCAAGGGGGAGAAGATGGAGTATGTGAGTCCCATAAAACCTAATGCTTGAATGGAGTCTTAAATGAAGAAGAGGGAGCTAGATGGCAGTGAAGGAAAGCTTCCTGGAGGAGGTGGTTACTGAGCTTGACCTCGAAGGATGAAAGCAGTTTTCCAGGTAGTGGCAGGTATTCTATGGTGGGGAACAGCATGGTGTAGGCTTTGTTCAGTTTGCTGTGACTGTTCCATTGAGAGTGACCAAGGGACCTGGACTTAGATTGGATAGGCAGCTTCCAGAATTATCCATGGGGGGCCCAGAGACCACTCCCCTCTACCTGCCTTGTACATATGTCCCACTTCCCTCACAAGAGTCCCTCATGGCTCACCCCCTGACAGACACTGTCCTCTGGGTCCCACATGCCTCCCAGTCCCACCCACTGCCTGCTCTGTAGCCTCCTCAAAAGATCTCGGCCTCCAGAGAATGTTTTCTTACCCTGTCTGTCCCTTTCTGCAAAGTTCAGCACTTTGTCTGCAGGGCCCAAGCTTGCCCTCCACTCAAAGGTGAACGTTCCTGGAAGCTCCAGCCTGTTTTCCACTTCAAACAAAAGGCTGGAACTCGCACCTCAGGCACCACGCACAGCCAGACCGCTGGGCTTCCAACTTGGCCGGGCATCCGTCCGTAACGAGGAGTGGGCCCAGCCTAAATTTGGAGATGTTAGTTGGAAACTCGAGTGCTGCTAATTCAGGCCTTCCAGCTTTGTGTGCTTCTCGCTCTTCTACATGGAGCAATTCGGCTGTCTCAGGGAGGAGATTCAGAGCCCTGCCTCCCACCATCCTTTGTCCAGCTCTGATCCAGGGAGGGAGGCCAGAGCCATCTGAACCACCTGCTCTTCAGAAATAATTTAGCAATTTCCTACTGTGTACGGGGCTCAAGTATAAGTATCATTCCTTACAACATTTCTGTGACGCAGGGGTCCCTGTCCCGGTTTGGTCAGACGAGGAATCCGACGTCTAGAGAGTGGAATTAACTAGCCTGAGGTCACATAAGGAAGTGTTAGAGTTGATTCAGCTTCTGACTCCAAATCTAGTACTCCTTGCCCGGCATCCCTTGTCTCCTAGGGAGTTCACACATCTGCTGGGGAGCCTGATCTCAGAACCAAAGGCATAGGCTTTGGAGTTTGGCCATGCAAAAACTCTTATTCTTGGAGGTCCCCACCCCTCTTCACACCAAACATTTAAAATGCACCATCTCCCACGTTAAATGTAATTTAAATGTAACTGTATTGCAGTGGAGGGGAGTGGCAGTGGTGTAGCAGACTTCATACCAGGTTTTGTGCACATCTGCAGGGACTCCTTTCTGTTGCAGGTGATAGAAAATAATCTCAACTACTTTAAAGGAAATGAGGTAATGAGCTTCAGATTCTGTTTGGTCCAGAGCCCAAAGGCTGTGACCAGAACTTGGTTTCTCTCATTCCCTTCCTCTTGGCTTTACTTCCTCTGTGTTGGCCTTATTGTCAGACAACGTTTCTCCTCATTGTGGTAAAACGGCTGCCTTTGCTTCAGCCTTACATGTTCCTTAAGTTTAAATCAGCCTGTGTTTTGGGGGATTATACAAGGGTCTTGAGGAGCACTCTGATTGGATGGCTCAGGCCACGTGCCGAGCTCTGCAGCAGTCATGGGAAATAATGTTTTATTGGCCAGGTCTGGGTTTCGTGTTCTAGTAGCGTTGAAGTGGAAGCCCCTGGCTGTAGCGTACTGAGTGGGGAAGGGATAGATTCCTGAATGACAGTGGGAATCTATTACCTAATTGGCGGGTAGGGAAGGAGGCAGGGGCCCATATGACAAGTCCACTGCACAGATCCAGGAAGTGAAATTACTGGGGACAAAACTTGGGTCGGGCCTTCTACTCTACTGCCCCAAGCCTCTGCCACCTGCGCACACCCTGTCCACGTAGCTCTGCCCCTCACACCCACCCTCCCCTTCTCACCTTCTTTTCTCGCCTCCTACAGCCTGATGGCACCAGCAAGGAGTGTGTGTTCATTGAGAAGGTCCTGGAGAACAACTACACAGCCCTGATGTCCGCCAAGTACTCTGGCTGGTACGTGGGCTTCACCAAGAAGGGGCGGCCGCGGAAGGGTCCCAAGACCCGGGAGAACCAGCAGGACGTGCACTTCATGAAGCGCTACCCCAAGGGACAGGCAGAGCTGCAGAAACCCTTCAAGTATACCACGGTGACCAAGAGGTCCCGGCGGATTCGCCCCACGCACCCCGGCTAGGCTGGCCCCACCGCAGCCCCCCAGGCTGCCCCCAGGCCCACACTCACACTCACAGAGAACTGCATCAGAGGAATATTTTTACATGAAAAATTAGGGAGAAGCTCTATTTTTGTACATTGTGTTTAAAAGAAGACAAAAACCGAACCAAAACTCTTGGGGTGGGGGGAGCGATAAGGATTTTATTGTTGACTTGAAACCCCCTGTCTCTGACAAAAGACTCACAAAAAGGGACTGTTGTCAGCGTACAAGTGCTTGTCTCTCTCTAGGAACAGACAACTCTAATCTCGTCCCCAGAGGAGGATTTGAAGGAGGAAAACGTCGCTCTGAGAAACCAAAGTCCTTTTTCCCAAAGGTTCTGAAAGAAAGAAAAAAAAAAAAAAGAAAAGAAAAAAAGAAAAACAAAGAGAAAGTAGTACCCATCCCCAGACTCCCCCTTTCCCAACCCCCTATCCCTGCCCCAGACTCCAACAAAAATCGCTCTCTGGTTTGCAGTCATTTATTTATTGTCCGCTGCAAGCTGTCCCGAGACACCGCGCAGGGAAGGCGTGCCCCTCGGAATTCTCGGCGCCTCGACTTCCGACGACAGACGGCTTCGTCCAATCAAGTGACCCTGCATTGCTCGCAGTTCTGGAGGATGCTGCTATCGACCTTCCGTGACTCACGTGACCTAGTACACCAATGATAAGGGAATATTTTAAAACCAGCTATATTATATATATTATATATATATAAGCTATTTATTTCACCTCTCTGTATATTGCAGTTTCATGAACCAAGTATTACTGCCTCAACAATTAAAAACAATCGACAAATTATTTAAAAAAAACCAGGAGGTGAGTGGTGGTGGGGGCGGGGCTCAGGCAGGGCGGGCCCCTTTGTGTTTCATTCTTGGTGGTGTGCGCTCCTGGCTCTGAGAGCTGGGGCCTCGCTCATTCATTCGTGCGCTGATTCGTGCCACCGCGCCTGCTCCGCGCGCTGCTCTAGGCACTGAGAACGCAGCTTTAGACCGAGGGATCTTAGCTTCTGGACATCCTTGCCCTCAGAGAGATTACGTTCCCATGAGTCATTGATTGGATGACCGATTCAGGCACATACGTTCACAAACCTTTGCTCGCCATCTCCTGTGTTCTTCGGTGCACTGGGTATTTATCAAAAAACACCAAAAACATGCCAGCCTCCAGGGAACTTCACTTAGTCACCGATTCATTGCTTCGTTCATTCATTTACTGATGGAACTCCTCATTCAACATATATTTATTAAGCACTTCGCTAAGTGCCAGGCACTGTTTTAGGTACTGGGAATTCATCAAAGAACGAAGCATACCCCAAATCATGCTGCATGGAGCTTACAGGCTCGGGATTATTGCTTGAGTCATTTGTGGAGCCCGCATCTGGGTTTTGCCAGGCACAGGCTGAGCAAGGCAGCCCTGGGCCCCCTTCTGTGTCTGGTGGTAGAGCAGTCAGAGGGCCCAGGTCGGGCCCAGACTCTCATGGGCGGGAGTGCAAGGAGTCTGTCCGCCTCTTTAACTTCCAGGGGCCCTTTCTCCTAGGTCTTCCCCAGGGCCTGGCCAGGATGTAGGGGAGAGGCCGGCTTAGTCTTGGGGTGGGAAGCAGATTGGGCAGGAGGTTGACTGAAGAGGAGGATGTCTCCGGTGGGGTCCTGCTGCTGTCACCTGCCTCCCTTGAAACCACTTCCTGCCAAGACTGGCCAGGAGAAGTCCCCAGGGAAGCCCTACAGAGAGGAAGGAAAGAGGGAGGCAGGAGAACCTTCTCTGGCTGGGCCGGGGCTTGGCTTCTGACCTGTGTGCTCTCTCTGCAACCCACCTCCGAGCTCCGGCCAAGCATAACTCTTGGTTCTGTCCTTCCTCTCTGCATGATGAGGGTCTCTCTCCATCCCGGGGCCCCATCCTGTGTGTCCCAGCACATTTGCTTGGGGCTTTGTGAAGCTCTTTCAGGTACATGATCTCATTGTGACCTCAGGACAACCTGTGAGGAAGATATTGTCATTATTCCCATTTTATAGATGGAGGAGACTGAGGCCCAGAAACATTTAGCAGCTTCCCCAAGATCACAGAATAAGAAAGCTGGGGCTGGTGTCCAAATCCTACACTGCCCAGGGTGGCAGTAGCTGCCACTTGGTGAGGCCCTCCCGTGTTTCAGATGGCCTGCTGGGGACTTTACAGGGCCTGCCTGGGCCTCACTACACATCCTGGCGTGGGACATGGGTACCCTTGACTGAGGCTCAGAGAGACCATCAATGTGTCCAAGGCCTCAGTGAGTGGGCGACTGAGCCTGAGACCCCCGGGGATAGTAATTGTGATGGTGCTTGTCATTTACTGAGCACCTACCGTGTGTCAGTTCCTTTCACACTCTTGTCATTTAATTTGAACAATAACCCTAGGAGAAGGGTGTGCCCTGTCTTTTGCACTGAAGGTTTCAGAGATGTGAAATGACCTGCCCAAAGCAATTCAAGCTAGAAAATCGTGGAGTCAGAATTCAATCGATCATTTATTTATTCATGCAATAATACGTGTTTAGTTTACTCTGTGCCAGATGCTCTTCCAGAGGCTAGAGATACAGCAGTGAACTGAGCAGAGCCCCTGACCTCATGGAGCTTACATTCCATTGGGGAAAATCAATAAACCAAATAGAATATATGTCAGATAGTGATAAATCATAAAATAGGGAAAAATAAAATAGGATGAAGGGATAGAGAGGGATGGGGCTGCTATTTTATTTTATTTTATTTATTTATTTTTTTATTTATTTGCGAGAGAGAGAATGAGAGACAGAGAGCATG